CTCCCGGCGTCCCTCCCTCCCACCAAACCTGTTTATTTGAGCATTCCCCCCCCTTCCCTGTCAAAGATTATGATAAACAAACAGTCCGGATCTTCTCTTGCCAAAAGGAACGAAACGATAAATCAGAGCCACGAGGATAATTCTTGAAAAAACAACAACATAACAAACAACGACAACAACAACAATAAACACTCTTTTCGCGTTGCGGTTCCAATCCTTTTTTCTATCTTCCGCCGTTGCTCACCCCCCCCCCCCCGGCCAAAAAAGGGAGAAAGATATATAAAAAAAAAGGAAGACGAAGCAACCGACGCGTTCTCCGTTCTCACCCCCACCCCCCAAGAATCGAGCCTATTCCACCATGATTCAAAATTTATTTTTCCTCCACGTGAATTCAGACTTATTTTCCCACGCATGAATTCAGATTTATTTTCACATGAATTTCAGACTTAGTTTGTTCCACCATGAATTCAGACTTTATTTCTACCACCATGAATTTCAGATTTATGTTTTTCCACCTGAATTCAGATTTTATTTTTCCACCATGAATTCAGATTTATTTTTCCACCATGAATTTAGACTTATTTTTCCACCATGAATTCACTTATTTTTCACCAATGCAATTCACTTATTTTCCACCATTGAATTCACTTTATTTTTCCATCATTGAATTCAGACATTTTTCACCCATGAATTCACTTATGTTTTCCACCATGAATTCACTTATTTTTCCATCATGAATTTCAGGACTTATTTTTTCCACTGAATTCACTGATTCTTCCCACCAATGAATTCACTTATTCTTCCACCATGAATTCACTGATTCTTCCACCATGAATTCACTTTTCTGAATCACCTTCCATGATTTCACTTATTTTTCCACCATGAATTCACTCATTTTTCCCACCATGAATCACTTTTTTTTCAACATGAATTCACTTATTCTTCCACCATGAATTCACTTATTCTCCACCATGAATTCATACTTATATTTCCACCATGAATTCACTTATTTTTCACCATGAATTCCTTATTTGAATTCACTTATTTTTCCACCATGAATTCACTTATTTTTCACCATGAATTCAGACTTATTTTTCCACATGAATTCAGACTTATTTTTCCACAGAATGAATTCAGATTTATTTTTCCACCATGAATTCAGATTTTTTCCACCATGAATTCAGATTTATTTTTCCACCATGAATTCACTTATTTTTCCACTAAGAATTCACTTATTTTTTCCACCATGAATTCACTTATTTTCCACCATGAATTCACTTATTTTTCCATCATGAATTTCAGACTTATTTTTCACCATGAATTCACTTATTTTTCCACCATGAATTCACTATTTTTCCATCATGAATTCAGAATTATTTTTCCACCATGAATTCACTTATTCTTCCACCATGAATTCACTTATTTTTCCACCATGAATTCACTTATTTTTCCACCAGATTCACTTATTTTTCCACCAAGAATTCACTTATTTTTCCACCATGAATTCACTTATTTTTTCAACATGAATTCACTTATTCTTCCACCATGAATTCACTTATTTTTCCACCAAGAATTCACTCATTTTTCCACCATGAATTCACAACATGAATTCACTTATTTGTTTTATTTTTTCCACCATGAATTCATTCACTTATTTTTCCACCATGATTTCACTTATTTTTCCACCAAGAATTCACTTATTTTTCACCATGAATTCACTTATTTTCACATGAATTCACTTATTCTTCCACCATGAATTCACTTATTTTTCCACCATGAATTCAGACTTATTTTCCACCATGAATTCAGACTTATTTTCCACCATGAATTCAGAATTCAGATTTATTTTTCCACCATGAATTCAGACGTCGGGGAGGAGATCTCACGAAGGTGTCTCCAGCCAGCAACCGCACCTCCCCCCCCTCCACCCCCACCCCAGACCCTTCCACTCGCCGCTTGAAATCACTAGAATCACACTTATTGGAGGCGGATCCGTGCACCTGCGTCTTTTTTTTCTTCTTTTTCTTCTCTTATACGTCTATCTATCCCTCCCGCTTTAATATGTTTTGTTTTCCCTCTCTCTCTCTCTCTCCCTTCTCGCAATGCTCTCTCACTCAAGTATCGCCCTGAAACGCGATCTGTTCTCTAAGCAACGGTCGAATCGGATGACTTCACCGCTACTATTAAGGCAAGAATGGGAAGGATGAGAAAGCGAGATAAAAGATAAGTGTATAGATAGAAAGATTGATAGAGGGAGGGGGAGGGGGAGAGGAGAGGGATAGGGAGGTAGGGAAGTATAGAGAGAAATGAGAGAGAGAGAGAGAGAGAGAGAGAGAGAGAGAGAGAGAGAGAGAGAGAGAGAGAGAGAGAGAGAGAAGAGAGAGAGAGAGAGAGAGAGAGAGAGAGATGGTGGGGGAGAGGGAGGAAGGTAGGGAAGTAGAGAGAAAAGAGAGAGAGGGAGAGAGAGAGAGAGAGAAGGGGGGGGATCAAGATAATTGAATGCAGACTGCTTGAGAGGTGGGTGAGGCGTATATGAAATTCCTCCCAAAGGTCAGGTGGTCATCCCGCGTGACAGGGGAGCAAAAGGTGTGTGAAAACAACCCGCCTACCCCGAACCGCAAAAATGAACCCGGAGAAACGAAAAATACCCAGATATCGTTCACTTGCCAGACATTCATTCGAAGTCAGCATCACCGTACAGACGAGAGACGAGTAACCGACCAACCCCATTGGCGCCCCTCAGCACCCGGCCAAGGAGAGCAGAAAGGAAGACAAGACGCCCCTTCACGGAGAGCTCAAGCCCCGAGGAGGAGCGAAGGTGGCACCGCGACAGGTAGGAGAGGCCGAGGCAGCGCATGATCAAGAGGGCCTCACACTCAAGATCCTGGTGATGCGTCTGGTCATGCGGGCTCCTCCAGGACCTGCGCGGGCCATGCACTGGCGTTGCGGAAGGTTAAAAAAATCGACTGACTTCGGCGATAACACTGGTTTGAATAACGATAACAAAACTATTGGTTTTAATTGGTATACGCGTCATATTACAGATAAGGTTTACAGCAACACTAAAATCATAACAGAGAGGCTAATCAACAATCATGACAAAATACATAAACAACGGCACTGTTGTTATAAAAAAATAGATAATAACATGACATATATATATATATAGATATATTATATGTATATATGCATGTATATGTATGTATACATGCATGCATATATATATATATACATATATATATATACACACATACATACACACATATGCTTGTCTACTCTGCTTACAGCTTTATGGTCTGGATGCGTCCCGGTCCGACTCAACCGGTTCCTGTGTCATCGCAAGCTCCCGGACAGCTCTCGCCGGACACACGCGCGTGCACACAGGCAGCGCACGCTCGCACCCGCCCAACCCCACTCGCGCGCCCTTACGAGTCGCTAGCAAACGGGTTCTTCTGGACGCCCCATTATGTGTGAAAGTTTCCAGTCATACCGAGCGATGCAGAGCCATCAAGCGCAAACGCGTCTCCACGCCAGACCGTGCTTTCTCCGCGCCACAAAAACGGGCCCGGAGAAATAACACGAAGGAGGTTGTGACCGCTCCCAGGGTCACGGGTCACGGCCAGCGGTGGTCGCGGCGGTGGAGATGGGGGTTAGTTTGTCCGCCCGTTAATAACGAAGAAGGGTAAAATAAGCGTGCATGAAAGACGTTCCCCGAATAAGCTGCCGACGGCAGGTACTACGCACAGAATCGGAGCCGCCGATGCAAATGGGAAAATCCGCCAGACTCCCGCCATCCCACGATCAAGACCGCACTCGAACCAACAGGGAGAAAGCCGGTGTCATGCGACCGGTGAAAATCTGCGATGATCATTTCATGTCAACGCAGTAACCTCCATATGAGGAACAACGCCTGCATTCAGAGACCAAGCGAGGATCCCCCGGTGTCTCCTCCCTAACGGTGTCCTGCGACCCGTCCCCCCCACGCGCTTCGGCGGGAGATCTGTATCGTCCGGAGCGAGGCCGGAGGGAGAGAGAGACGCCTAATATGGGTGATTCACAGGAAAGAGGGTAAGATGGGGGCATGGGGGCGTGAAAGGGGGCTTCGCGAGTTACACGCAAGAGGGGAAAGGAAAGGTGGAAAAGGCGGGGGTAAGGAGGGAGAATTTCCCACAGGCCACGAGGACTGACGGAGATGGTCAATAAAAAGGGCACGTCCTTTCCTCAGCGACGGAGAATACAGGAGAGTGGGATCCTTAGAGGGTGTTTTTGCTTTCCTTTGGATGATAGTACGGATACAAAGGAATGAGATCGTAACAAAACAGATATTAAAGCAACAAGTATATGCTCCCAACTGAAGAGAGCAGCTATCTTCGAGCTCAAAAAGTAAAAAAAAATATAACAGTACTAAATGCATAGACGAAGAGGCGTGGCTGAGGAGAAACGGGTATTCCATAAACAAAAATACATCGGCATCACAATGAATAAGACCACAGCGGACTACTACAGCTCGAGTATCCTGAGAGGAGGCCCCTCCGTGAGCGCCCCAACCCCCGCCCGCGTTCCCGCCTCGGCCCATCACTGCGCCTTAGGTCGCCGCCGAGGGCCCGGCATCCGCCTCCACCCGGCGCCGCACCCGTACCACGACCTGCCCCGTCACGCCACATCTCCGCGCGCCGGGAGACGTCAGGATAATATCTGGCAGCGCCTCGGCGGGTTGGGCGCGGCGAGCACGGAAGGCCAGCCGCGCCACCTGCCCCGGGCTCCCATCGACGGCCTTCGAGGACACCGGACCGCCACCTCTGCTGCGCCATTACCGTCGACCTCGACCTTCATAGATGGTAGACCCGAGAAAAATGAAAGGTGCGTGAGACCAAAACACCAACAGCTGGTAGTCATCCCACCCACCACATCGCGGCAGCACCATGACAATCAAGGGCGACGCTAGGAAAAAAAAAAGTTATAACAACAGGACTTCTTGACTGTCAGCACGATCTTTCGGGATGAAGACGTCGGACCTTCGGCTTCCTACCAGGATCCCCTTCCACGCTGTCGCCGCCTCCACCACCATCAACCCCGTCATCACCTTCACCACTATCGTCTATTCCACCATCACCTTCACCACTACCTTTGCCTACAACTATCGTCTATTTCACCATCACCCATCATCATCACCTTCAACCACTGCCTACCATTATCGCCTATTTACCATCACCCCATCCACCCATCACCACCACTATCACCCACAACACTACCACCCCTATCATCACAAGCACCCCCACCATCAACCACCTACTACTATCGACATTACCACAATGCCCTATACCATCACCATCACATACCCTCATCATCATCACCACTACCACCCTATCACCACAATCATAACTACCCCATCCTCACTAAAACCACCAACCACCTAGTCCCACCATCACCCCCTCCCTCTCACCGCAACCACCATTCCCCCCACCATAACCCCCTCCTCTCCACCGCGCACCGCACTCTTAACAACCATCAAGTATTATAAAAGAGTGAAGGAGTGTGCGCAGCCTTGAACCACCCTCCGACCCTTGTACTGGATAAGCAAGCGAGAGCACGTACTTGGAGTCTATCGAAGGAGGAGGGAGGGGGGAGGGGGCTGTGGGGGATGGCTATGGAAGAGAAGGAGAGGGGGAGAGGTGGATGTGTGGTGGATGAGGAAGAAGGGGGAGAGGGGTGAGTGAGGAGGTGGAAGAGGAGGAGGGGGAAAGGGGAGGGGGATTATGGACGAGCAGAAGGGAGGGAGATAGAGGGATGTGTGGGGAAAGAGGAAGGAAGAGGAGAGGGGGATGTGTGGGGGAGCAAAAGGGAGGGGGAGAGGGAGGAGGAGGAGGGGGAGAGGGAGAGGAGAGGAGGGAAAAGGGGGGTGGGTGTTCCACAGTGTCGTTGTGCTCTCACGGGCTAATTGTTCCCGAGGTCACATCGATAGCGGATCATCGAACGTGTTGTTAATAAAGACCGATAACAATCATGTATCGATGCAATATGGTCTGCCTCAAAGAGAATCAGATTCAACTGATGACCATGTAGTAAAATAAATGAGCAAAGGACAATCCGTAAATCGGGTAACATCCTGCAAATTCCGAAGCGAAGTGAGGAGTCCTACCGAAGGACATGTCCCGGCTGATCTCCCGGTAAGGAAGTTCACCTACAGGACGTTGGCCGAGCCTCCGCGGTGGTGAACCTGTGGCAAAATCACGCTCCTTCGCCACGTTATTCCATGTCATTTAAGAGACGACTACAATTCTTCCTTTCAGATATGAGGATGTGCAGAGAGTGAGAGAGAGAGAGAGGAGAGAGAGAGAGAGAGAGAGAGAGAGAGAGAGAGAGAGAGAGAGAGAGAGAGAGAGAGAGAGAGAGAGAGAGAGAGAGAGAGTGTGTGTGTGTGTGTGTGTGTGTGTGTGTGTGTGTGTGTGTGTGTGTGTGTGTGTGTGTGTGTGTGTGTGTGTGTGTGTGTGTGTGTGTGTGTGTGTGTGTGTGTGTGTGTGTGCGTGTGTGCGCGCGTGTGTGTGGTGATATGGATGTAATAGTACCTATAAAGCTACATAGACACATAGACAGACAGATACACGCACCGTACAAATAACATGGAGGCCACGGGGGTGGGGTACGTGCATGAGCGTACGTGCACCCATCTTCACAATGCCAAGCACATTAGCTGCAACATGCGTCCTAAAAGCAACCTGAAAAAGCCCCGCTACCTGTCGAGTTCCCTTCTTCGGTTACAACCCACACGGACGCAAGCACTCAGCCTTGCTCTAATCCCCTCGCCTCTGTTGGATCTTGCGCCTAATCGCCACACGCATTTCTGCCTTGCACACCTTACACTCAAATCCCCTTGCATTTGCGATCAAGGAAAATTATGCGTTTTTTATTATATAAACCAATAAAATTAAAATGGTAATCCTCGCTGTTTGTTATTTTTACATGTAAACAGATAAAATAAAAATACAATTTCTCAGTTTGCTTGTTTGTTTGTCTCTATAAATGAATAAAATAAAAATAGCATTTCTGGCCGTTTGTGTGTGTTTGTCTGTTTTTTTTTCTGCTTCCTTTATAGCAATGTCTACCTTGGCTCGCCTCTTCTTTCACTCCTCTTTTAGGACCGAGAGACAAATAAGGAGACGGAAAACAGGTGGTGAATAGGATGAGTGCCAGGCGATAACAGCTGGTTCAGGCGAGACAGATGGGCGCGGTGGCGATAAAAATGGATGGAAGCTGTGAACGGGCGGGCGGGCGGGAGGGAGGACGGGGGGAGGGGTGGGGTGGGGTGGGGGGCTCCGACTCATTTAAGAGCAGGTGGAAGAGGGTGCCAGCCAGGGTCAGTGTCGGGGGAGGGGGGTGGGGGCAGAGGCAGGGGACTGGGGTGGGGTGGGGGGAGGGACTCGAGTGGCACCAAGGCCAGCGGGACGATGCGTGGCCTCGCCGGAACAGAACCGTGCATCACCCATTTACACCGCGGATCACGTAGACATTAATACAATACAATAACATCGGCAATTATCAAAATTCATCTACATACCAGACGCGACAACAGATCATACATTAGAAAAAATGGGGGGAAAACACGCACTCATAATAACGCAACAAAAATGCCTCCTCATACAAAAAAACAGAAGTGATCGTCTGCGCAAACAACACGGCGTCCGCACTCAACAGCTATGCAGTGCAGCGGACAAAGAAATTCACGATTCAAACATGCATAACGAAGAAAAGAGGAGGAAGACGATGATGATGATGATGATGATGAAAAGCATGAGAAGGAAGAGGGAGGAGGATGAGGAGAGGAGGAAGAAGAGGATGAGGATGAGGAAGAAAAGGATGAGGAAGAAGAGGAGGAGGAAGAGGAGGAGGATGAAAGAGAAGGGGAGGTTCCCGGTTCGCGCGACACTACCGGTATCTGGCGATGGCAACGAAACTCCTTCGCCATAATGGGCGTTCTCACCGGACGCGCACGCACTCACATACGCACGTTTTTTGTAGTAAGTATGGATGACGCACCGCAACCCGTCCACAAAACTGCTCTCATTACATCATAAGACTCACGCGCGTAGTGTGCAATCGCTGAAGAGAATGTAATGTGAAGGTGAAGTAATGAATCATCATCTTGGAACAAATGTCTCCCCTTCTGTGTATTTCTTCAGTATCTGTTCCCCCCCTTTCCTCGTTTCTCCCTCCCGTATTCATCGGTGCAATCCCTTTCCCGGTCTCACCTTCCGGTCGACGCGGCGCGGCTCCTCTCCCGGGAGCGGCGAAGCCAAGCCCTCGCGTAACGGAAAAGCGCGAGGGACCGACAGGACCTCGGGGCGAATCCCGCCGCCCAATTACAACCTCGATTGACAAAACGTTCCCCATCATTCCGGCATCAAGCGCAAGCACTCCGCCAGCCTCGACTTTTTTCCCTCCACCAATAAATTCCTTGATCCCATTCTCCATCTCATTTCCGTCTCGGATTCCCTCCCTCGCCGGCACCATCGATGAGTAAGCGAACGCTCTCATTCCGATATTTATCTGGCGGGGCACAGTTACGGGTCAGGGACAGCCCCGTGAACCAGGTATTGTGCGCCACCGCCCCCGGAGGGTTCGGAGGGGCGAAAGAACCGCTTGCTAACGGGGTTCGAGAAGAGGAATCGACACACAAGCACTCCAGACTTCAAAGGGAAAAAAAATACAGAGGCACAAGAAAAGAAGACACACAGAGGAGCAAGTGGAAGATCAAGCAACGCAGCTGGCCACGCCCTCTGCACCCAACGCACACGCACGCACGCAATTGTCTCCCAAAGCTAATTAAGTACAAACACGAATGTACAGCACTCGTGCTCTCGTGGGACCGGAAAAACGTGGTTTTTGTCAGGTCACACATATCACTTACTTTTATCCTCGAGCCACTCAGGAAAAGGGAAGAATTCACTTTCATTTACGTGGTTACTCTTAACCGTTTTTATCATTTCATTACTGAAATTACGGCTATCATCATATCCACAACGACGCTTTAAGCACAAAAGAAAAAAACAAACTAACTATACCACAGAAACGGATTTCCTCGTTTGCCCGAGATGAATATACACTCCCACGGCCCGTCTTGATAAGTCTCCCCTTACAGTGAAACAATAATACTGTAAAAAAAAAAACCGCATGGAAAAAATCCGGCCGTGTCACACCACACTCAAAATCCACCCGCTGCCGTCTTGAGTAACTCGCTTACTTCTCTACTTACACTGCCTGACGTCTCTAAAATTAGCCTGTCAACGGCTTCTCATACCATAAATATACTTTAAAATATGAACACAAACTAAAAGATCGCGTTAACCATTTCGATAACACCCATTTACAGCGTCTTTATCATCCTCTCATATCAGGATTTGTTCCTGGGATTTCCTCTTCCCTTCTCCTTTCCTTCGGGCTTCTGACCTCAGGTCCTACCAGTTCAGGCTTCGTTGAGTCATCTGGAAATGGTTTAGCTTTGACTCCATCGCCATAAGCAATTTCAAGAGCACAAATGCACGCACGTACGCACGCGCGCACACACACAAACACACACAAGCATGTACATATACATACGGACACAGACACACAATCACAAATAACGTAAAAGCTTATAAAAATATGGATATGGAAACACACATAAATCAAAAACATACACCGTGCACATTGACACACACACACAGATAGACAGAGGGAGGGAGAGAGGGAGAGAGGGAGAGGGAGAGGGAGAGAGGAGAGGGAGAGGGAGAGGGAGAGGGAGAGGGAGAGAGAGAGAGAGAGAGAGAGAGAGAGAGAGAGGAGAGAGAAGAGAGAGAGAGAGAGAGAGAGAGGAGAGAGAGAGAGAGAGAGAGAAGAGAGAGAGAGAGAGAGAGGAGAGAGGGAGAGAGAGAGAGAGAGAGAGAGAGAGAGAGAGAGAGAGAGAGAGAGAGAGAGAGAGAGAGAGAGAGAGAGAGAGAGAGAGAGAGAGAGAGAGAGAGAGAGAGAGAGAGAGAGAGAGAGAGGACACTCTGGACCCCCCCCCCCCTCCCTCCAGGCACCGGCGAGTGTTGCGCGCGGACCAAGGTGTCGTACGCTGGTCACGTGACGTCACCGCCGCGGCTCCTCCGTCCCGCGGACCACGAAGCCGCAGGCCGAGTCCTTCCCGCCGCAAATCCGCAAATCGGCGTCTAATCACGGTGGCAAACAAGGGGAAGCAGGATGGCATCGACCCTCTTACAGTGTCAGTCGCTCGGATGTTGCAGCACCTTCTTCCCTCCTCCTCTGCCCCCGTCCTCTCCTTCCCTCCTCCTAGGCCCCCATCCTCTTCTTCCCTCCTCCTCTGCCCCCGTCCTCTCCTCTTTCCCTCTCCTTCCTTCTTCCTCTGCCCCCGTCCTCTCCTCTTTCCCTCCTCCTCTGCTCT